GAGCGGTCGTTTCCAAAAAAACCGCGTTCATTTACATGTACGATTACAGTTGAGGTCCGAGCTGCGAACGAATTTTGAAAATATGCAAATTTTTAGGTCATTGAAAAATTGAAAGTATTGCCCGAACGGTCGTTTTTCAAAAAACTCACGTTGATTCGCATATACAGTTGCAGTTCAGATCCGAGCTGCTAACGGTTTTTGGGTTCAGGAGCTGCTTGAGGCTGTGATTGGGAGCTAGAGGGCTGAGTTTAAAACCTTTGTCTTGCACATGCATAGAGAATATCCCTGCAAAGTTTCAGCCTTCTATGTTGTCTTGTTCGCGAAATCGTTTCCCGCCAACAAATTCCTTTGGAGGTCTCGTGCTCGGGGTTTAGGCGCGTATGGGGGAAGATCTTAAAACGGGAGGATGACACACGGGGTAGGAACATATGTCTCATTAGCGGGATTTAGGCGCGTATGGAGGAAGATCTTAAAACGGGAGGATGACACACGGGGTAGGAACATATATCCGATTAAGGCGCGTATGGGGGAAGATCTTAAAACGGGAGGATGATACACGGGGTAGGAACATATATCCGAAGTTAGGCGCGTATGGGGGAACATCTTAAAACGGGAGGATGACACACGGGGTAGGAACATATATCCGAAGTTTCAGGCCCCCAGCTTTCCTGGTTGCGAGTTGAAAGTGGGTGACAAAATGCACTCGCTTTGCGCACGCACACACCTCCAGCTTTCCTGGTTGCAGAGTTGAAAGTGGGTGACAAAATGCACTCGCTTTCCGAATACACACACCCAGACAGCCTCTCGACAATACGCGTTTTTACTAGCTGTAGCAGCTATAGCGCTGCTATAGCGCTTCACAACAAAAACGCATAAAAACGAAGCGATGATGTTCCAAAAACTACTGTCGCTGCAGTGAGCGACAAAAGAAACCTTCAGGAAACAGTTCTTTTGCTCTGCAAAAAAGTGCTTATTGAGAATCCAGTAAAAAAAAGAAAGAATTTGCAATAGCTTTCTTGGATGCAGGATCCCAGTTATCTTTTACTATGAGGGAATTGGCAGAAAGACTGGACTTCCAAGAAGAAAATAAAGAAACACTACGGATAGAAGGATTCGCGAGGGAACAAACGAAAGAATTCCAAACTTCAGTAGTCTCGGTTAATCTCAGATTGAAAAACGGTAAACAAAAACCAATGAAATTAAGAACG